TGGCGAGTCTCTATCTCAAACAGGGTGGTGACAAAGGCGGTAAGGGTGAGCTCACCTGGGTGCTGACTAAGGAAATGGTCGCGGGCACTGGCTAAGCGGTCTGGAAGGCGCATAGCAACGAGGTACAATGTAGCGCAAAACGGCGGGGGGGAGGTAGTGAGTTGGGCGTCAGCGCGCAACGATTGCATCTAAGAAATCCTTGGCATTCGCGACAGCATTGAAGCGTGGACGCTCAGACAGGGGAAGAGCATGACTCATGGCTAGCTGCGCTACGGCATCGTGGGAACCCCAGACAATGCGAGCAAGCGCTGCAGCAGAAAAGGCCTCACGCTGAGCAGTGGTGGGTTCAGCAGGGAGGGGATCAGGCAGGGGGGGGCGGGGAGGCAAGCCATTAACATGCACAGCCAGGGAGTGCCCATCCTGGTGCTGACCTGTGAGGTGACGGCGGAGATGGAACAAGGTTCACATGGAAGTATTGTTTACACGAAAGAATAATTGTCATACTAGTGCTCTAAAATGTGAAACCAAAAGTGTAGGGCTGCTACACAGGCCTACTCGTGTTCGAATGCAGCTGTAGGGCTTTTCGAACACGTGTTTGTAAGGAATTTCATTCTCCTTGCTGGGCTCAACTATAGTGTGTCCAACCTCGGCTTTCGGAAGGCTAGGCTCGGCCTACCTTTTCGATACCGAACCACTTTCGCAACCCCAAACCTCGACGCGTAACCTGTTCCGTAGCATTCGCCAACCGGACCGCCCCAGGCTGTTCGAGGGGTGCTTGGCTAGCTCTGTAGTTGCTATAATTTCCCTAGCATTTTAATTGTATAAACACTCTTGTAGCACGCTTCTTTAATGCACTACTGATTACAACTCTGATTAATTCATAACAGTATTGTTTTGTAAACTCATTGAGGGTGACATGTTATCTGCAATAGGTGACGCATTGAGGTTATGTTGACTTCCCATTCCTGAACAACCCTTGGTCTTTCACCAAAGCAGAGCGTGTTCCAGTAAAAAATTGATGTCCATGCTTGAAAAATAACCCCCCCCCCCCCCCCCTGTATCGCCAGCATAGCCACTGTCGAGCTCAAATTGTGGACCCTATCAAACCCAACGAACCCGCAATGGGCCCGCGTGTGTCGTTTGACACGAAAAGGCATGGTGACTCTCAAATTTCAAGATGTTTTTTTTTTTTTTTTTTTTTTTTTCATGAATTCATGATTTTCAAGATTTTTATGAGGAACCAATCCTGAAAAATCAGATGAAGGTCTGTACAATCACTATGCTCTTGGGGATAACCCTGATTTGATCAATCTTGGAGGTATACGTGCGTCAAGGACTCACCCCTGGTTTTTTTCCCAAACTGCCGTAAAACTTGTGACAAATCAGATTTTGCCATTAATTTGCTGCCCATGCTGTCACGACGCGCACATGTTTGGCACGAGCACTGAACTTAACTTATTGTAATATTGGTCAATAGTGTCGGGAAGTCTGCCTGCAAGCGCAACATGTGGAGTGCTGCCTCGATATAGAAGCGGCGTGCTGATGTTCAATGATTTGACAGCATATCATGCATACCATTTCAGGCATTTTCAAGAATGGCCTTGAGGCCCACAATATGCAGCTCCAAAACAACCCTGACAAATAGTTATGCTCTAGGGCGTCCAACCCTGACTACTACAAGCATTTATGGAGGCCAGCCTTGATTGATCAGGATGCCTCAAATCCGATCTGAGGCTAATTTTTACTGAACGAGGTATTCAAATTGGGACGTCAAATGATCTTTAAAGGCGCGACACTAGTCATGCAGCAACCGAATGCGCCCCCATGGTATCATCCCCTAAACATCGATTTGACTTATGGGTTCGATTCACTGTAGGGTGGTAGTTCGTTACCTACAGTAAAGAACAGCGAATTATTCGACATTACTACAAAATGAACTCCACAACCCCTCCTCCCCACCCCCCCAAAAAATATTGTCACGTTTATCAGCTCATGATTTTGCTTTATTTACATGTGTAAGATATTGTTAATTGTTAGAGTAGCGGGGAAAAGTGGTGACTAAGGGAAAATGTCGAGGGATACAAAACTAGGGTTGTACTCGCTAAGAACCAAACTAACTAGGCTATAAATAAATATGACCTAGCTAATCTATATAAATATATTTATTGATACACCCCCTAGCCTAGATAGTGGCAGTTCATAATAAGACAGAGTCCACCAGGGCAGCACTACTAGTCTGACCTCTGGTGAAGGCAACAAGGAAACTCAAGGCAGCACTACTAGTCTGACCACTAAGATTAGAGGTCACAAGGCCAGTCAGCAAGTGTAGCAAGACAAGCAGGCATAGAACAACAAACACTAGCAGGTATAGTATGGCTCAAGCTGAGACGGGACCAAGCTGAGTACAAAACCGCTGAAGGTCACGACGCGCAAGTGCCTTGGTGAAGATATCAGCGGTGTTAGCCTCTGAGCCCAACGATACCACTCGAGCCCGACCGAGCTGCTGCGACTCATGCAGCAGGAAGTACCGCAGCTGGATGTGCTTCGCCTTGCCCTCAAGTCGAGCCTCCTGACACATGAGGATCATGGCCCTGTTGTCAGCAAACAGGATCGGGGCAGACCTAGGCTGCTCACCTAAGTCTCTGAGAAAGAAAGTCAGCCAGCGGAGCTCCTGAGCGGCCATGGCCTCAGCATAGATCTCTGCTTCACAATTGGATTGAGCTATAGACGACGACCTGGTGGACCTCCACGAGACTGCACCAGCACCAAGACTAAAGCAGTAGCCCTGAGACGACCTGAGCGTCTCCACGTCGTCAGCCCATGAAACGTCTGTGTGTCTAGTGAGCACCACTTGCTCCCGTCCTCCTAGCACAAGCCCAAGTCCTAATGTACTCGCCAGATAGCGCAGTACTCTCTTAGTAGCTACCCAGTGGACTGGTTGGTGCCTGCCTGTCGCAACAAAGCAAGCCAGGAGACTGAGAGGGTACGCTAGATCTGGTCGAGCGCAGGTCATCAGGTACATGAGGCACCCCAGCAGCTCTGCGTATAGACCACTAGCCTCGACCGGCTCGGCCGGAATAGGAGCAGAGAGCTTGTGACCCACAGCCAGAGGGGTGGGCTGTGCTGAGGAGAACTGGAGACTGAACCTATGGAGGAGCTGCTGCGCCATATGGGACTGGGAGAGGGTGATCGTGCGAGCAGCACGGTCACGAGAGATCTCCGAGCCTAGATAGCACCTTAGCTTCCCCAAGTCTATACAGGTGTGTCTTCTAAGTAACTCAGCCTTCACTGAGGCCAGTGCGACTTTGTCAGGAGTAGCAAAGATAAGATTGACTACGTACACTAGAGTTTAGAACGGTGTCTGACCCGTGCGAACAAAGAGAGAGGAGTGAGCAGAGGACGGGAAGAACTGCAGCTCAGCAAGAGTGGTGCGAAGCGTGTCATGCCACTCAAGGGGTACCTGACGAAGGCCGTAGACAAGACGGCGCAGGCTCCATTCGGTCCAAGGTGGGAAGGACCCAGAGAAGCCTAGAGGGCGCCGGAGGTAGATCTGCTCGTGCGGAGTACCCTGCAGGAACGATTTGGAGAAGTCGAGTGAGTGAAGCTCGTAGTCACGCTGCGCAGCTATGTGACGAAGGACCCGAAGGGTAGTCATCTTCGGGGTCGGGGAGAAGGTATGAAAGAAGTCCACACCCTCACGCTGACTGAAGCCTCTAGCCATGTAACGCGCCTTGAACTTCGGCGGCTCTCCAGGTGCGCGCTTCACCCTGCAGATCCACATGCCATCGACTACGTTCGCCCCAAGCGGGGGAAGTGTATCGATGTAAGTGCTTGTGGATGTGCAAGATGCCATCTCAGCGTCCATGGCCTGTATCCTCAGGGCTTCCCAAGGCCCTGACACCGCCTTAGCGTAAGAGCGAGGAATAGAGATGTCGAGAGCGTCTATGTCACTTCCTGGGGATACAAGCATGGAGCAGAGATGGGAACCAGCGGCAGCAAGGTAGGCCAACTCGTACTGCCTGTCCTCTAGCACGTCACTGCCAAGGGCAGAAGCACCCCCGACGGACGGAGGACGGGCAGTACTAGAGAGACCAGAGCGGCAGCATAGTCAAGGTAGTGGCTAGCAGCAAATTCAGCGACTGCAGCGACAAGCGCAGAGACAGACTCAGTCGGGGTCGTAGGGCTAGTGAAAAGCGACGCAAGCAAACTAGGCAAATCAACATCTTGACTTCAACTTAGGAAACTGTTATATAATCTTTCTTAGTTTGGCAATTCGCCAAAACGGGAAAAACTGCGCTGTAAAGGGTTTGCGGAAAAATACAGTTCGCTATTCTAGGGTTTGGAGGTTTGGCGAATGTTCGTGCTGGCGCGCGCACGCAACTTTCAAGAAACTTTCGAGGTGTGCCCCTCAATCAATTGAAACTTTTCTCACAAAACATTCTGTTGGCACACGATTGGCCACAGACCAGGGGAAATGATAAAAAAGGGTCCTCCCTTCGCTAGAGGCGTGAGCAAAAAAGGTCCGGCAGCTTTTTGCCCCGAGACCTCGTCTCCGAGCCTGTAATACACCTCATTTGTCATACAATACGCACAATTCGTTAACACAAATTTGCAGGTTCATGGGGGCGCTTCGTGTCGTAACGCTGTGGTGGGACCTTCATACGAATTCAATGTACTGTATTAGGGCACAAAAAAAAAACTAAAAACCCATAGGGGCACCGCATGCGACTCGGGGTAGCATCAACCCTAAAGTCGCAGAAGGGCCGCGTGTTTAGGGTTGATGCCATCGGGCACGGAATTCCGCCCCCGATGGGGTTTAGTTTTTTTTTGCCCGTTGAGAAATGTTGAATGGTACCGCAAACGTCTCCTAAATGTTTAAAGTACTAAACAAAGGAAGAAGTGTATTTCAGGTTCAGAGGCGAGGTCCCTGGAGCAGAAAATTGCCGGACCTTTTTTGCTCACGCCTCTGGCAAAGCGAGGACCCTTTTTTATCATTTCCCGCAGGCCAGCGGCTCCGTTCATCCGCTTGTCTGTTCGTTGGTGCTCTAGATTCCACGCACCCTCGACCCTGTTTGGTTGGAGCCTTGAGCCACCGCGTCCTCGCACAACGGCTGAGCGGTATTCAGAGACTACTAAAATCGTCCCTAGCGTGAGAGAATAGAACAGCAGACAGTCATCCCCACGCTCTGTTGCCAGGCGTAGGTAGAATGAGGAAGGGTAGCAGTGGTACGAATGCCTGGAATCTCGCGCCGCAGGGAGGCGTTGTGGCCGTGCTGTCCGTGCTGCCATGGCTCTACGTCGCGTTTGACTTCTTGGGGAGCTGCCACAATGGGCCGTCCGCCAAGCAGGAGGTCTGAACATCCGCGTAGATTAAAGCCAGAGTCTCTTTTGCTCCTACATTTCCCCCCAACACGACGAGACTCGGGCTTGTCCATCCCTTCCTTTCCAGAGCGGCGTTTCCCCGTAGCACGCCGTGCCGTCCTTGAAGGTCTTTCGACCAGGGTTAGGGATGTTAGGGCTCTGATGTTTGGGTTCTCATGTAATGGTTTCTGATCATGAGAACCCTGACTTTTGTGGGTTCAGCGAATCTAGCCGATGGATCTTCCACGTGCGTTGCTAGGGCGAGCATTACTAGCGTCGTTTGAGAATCCATGATATATTCCCCAGAGCCGCATGGTAGATCCTGATTTTCTAACGCCGTCATAACTTTCCTCCCGCTTCCTAACGCCGTTTCACATCCCTCCCGCTTCCTAACGCCGTTTCACACCCCTCCCGCTTCCTAACGCCGTTTCACATCCCTCCCGCTTCCTAACGCCGTTTCACATCCCTCCCGCTTCCTAACGCCGTTTCACTTCCCTCCCGCTTTCTAGCGCCGTTTCACTTCCCTCCCGCTTCCCAACGCCATTTTCCTGCCCTCCCGCTTCCCAACGCCGTTTCCCTTCCCTCCTGCGTCCTCTCCCAGATGTACCTATCCCGGCTGCAGCCGATCATCCCTTTCGAGCAAATCCTCGACAATGTCACATCCGATATACTCACGAGCCACCACGGCCCGTTCTACAGTCTGTACCTGGACCCCCTGCGCTGGCCGCAGCTGAGCAAAGCTCGCAGCCATCAGGCGCAGAGCGAGCCGCGGCAGCAGCATTGGGAGTACCGAGAGGTGAACATGTTGGCGATCGGCGGATCCAGAGGCAGAGATTCGCTGAAGCTTTGGAAGACGGCATTCCCGAGAGGCATCATCTACGGCATTGGCGGCAACGAAAGGCTGTCGCCTATGCTGGTAAGTCCATTGCGTTAAAGCAAGTGTTGAGATAACATTCAGTATTATAAAGCGGTTACAAAATTCTTGAAGTATCTCGTCAAGCTGCTTCTTAATTACAAATTTCGACAATCTTTTCAGAGATTGAGAATCCTTTGGTGTCGTATTCTTGTTTGAAGACCTTGTTTGCCCCCAGCTCCTGGAAGTGTGCGGGATTCTCAGGTGCGGCTGATGTTTTAGTCGACTCAAATTTCCTTTCCGTTCCTCTTCTTGTTTGAAACCCTTGTTTGCCCCCAGCTGCAGGAAGGGGTGCGGGACCCTCGGGTGCGGCTGATGGTGGGCGACCAGGCGAATGGGACGTTCCTCGAGCAAGTGGTGGTAGAGATAAAGAGCACGGTGAGGAGTGGTGGCAGAGATAAAAAGCACGGTGCGGATTGATGGCAGAGATAAAGAGCGTGGTGAGGAGTGGTGGCAGAGATAAAGAGTGCAGTGAGGAGTGGTGGCAGAGTTAAAGAGTGCGCTGAGGAGTGGCGGCAGCGCGGAATGGTTTGTTGTGGTCTATGGTGGGCTGGATTTGGATGGTATGGGATAGGAGTTGGATCGTTATGTTATGGGATGCCATACAGTACTGTTTTGAGAAGTGTTTGGGATGTTGTTGCATGCCATGCCATCTCTGTTCATAAATCCCAGGCAGGACTAAGTTGACTGCTTATGCTTTCCTGAATTGTTCATGCCTTAGCTAATGCAATGCCCGCCCTGTTGGATTGTCCTTGACCTTGTTATTGCACTGACTCGTTTCAGAAGAATCTGCTTGATCTGAACATCTTCTTTTCTTGGGTGCTCTTGTCCTCGTTTCTGTGTTGTGACTCGTTTCAGGTGGGTCTGCTTGACTTCATAGTGGACGATGGTGGTCACACAATGAAGCAGCAACAGACATCCCTCCAATACCTGCTGCCACTGGTCAAGGTATCTGCTGCCACTGTAATTGCTCCTGCTACTGCTCTTAATTAAGGCTCTCTCTCCAGCATCCATTCGTGTTGTTTCCTCTCACCATCTACATCTCACCTTAGTTTTCACGCACAACACCTTGCCTACCTGTCTTGATCTTTCCTTTTGTCTTTCCTTGAAGTTGTATTCCTCCTTCCCTGTTCCTTCCGTCCCTTCCTCCTCCCATCCCCCCTCTCTCCCACCTGCCTCCCATCTCTCTGTTATAGCCTGGTGGGACTTACTTCATCGAGAATTTGGACACATCTTATGAGGAAGGGATTTCTGGTTCGGACACCACCACTATGCATGTCATGCAGTCTCTTCTGGATGCGATGAACAAAGAGTTTTTTGAGAAGCAGCCTTATTTCAAGAGCATGGTGCATGGGAAGTTTTATGCGACTCCGGTGGAGAAATTGGTGGGCTCCGTACACTGCATGCGGAGCATGTGTGCACTTCGGCGGAAGTCTAACCCCTGGTATTAGCAACACTACCCAGATGCTAGTTTGTACTAGTGAAAAAACTGTTGTGGTATATTTCTTACTTAGCATTTCTTGAAGTCGTTTATCCATAGACAGTGTCGAATTCTACTGTAGGAGTTAAGTCCGTAGGATGACGTCAGCAAATAGCTCTCGTCATAGGACAGTCGTTTTAGTAATGCGAATAGTCGCACCTCTTCATTATCGTCTAGGGCGCATAGCGCAATAGTGACGAACAGGTACATTAGCGAATAGGTACTTTCCTAGAGCTATAATCTTTGTTGTGTCCTTTTTATTATTAACCTTGAGATTTCAACTTTGAGAACTTTAAGACTTAACTTATGCAGAAACATATACTCAGGTTCAATTTTACAAGACTTCCACTGTCTTACTAGTCTACCATTCTAGTAAAGATCCTAGGCTAACACTCGAGGTTTTCCAAGTGTTCGTGTTTGCAGATTCTATACTTAGTCTCCTGCAAGCAACACCTTGTTAAAGTAGCTCTAGGCTAGGATACTAGGCAGGAACAAAGGCCGCCATAAATATGGCGGCGGGTTTTAGCTAGGAGCGTAGGAAGAGTGTCGAGAGAAAAGAGAGTTTGGATTAGGAAGAGAGAGGAGTACAAGGAGGGGTTTGTACCCTCTACAAAAAGGTTCAGTAACAACCTACCAAGCCTATATTACATTATAACTTATATAATTTGAACACACCCCCTAGGCTTGGTAGTGTCAAGCCCACTCACACCCCCACACCCACACCCACACCCACACCCCCTAGCCCAGCACCCCCATTCCCAGCAGGAGACACAACGACTCCAGAAGCGGGCAGCTCCCACGGCCCGTGGGATGGCTATGGCGGCAGCCTAAGTGGAGAAATACGCGTCCAGCGTATTATACGCAAGCGTATTATACGCTAGCGTATATACGCTGTACGCTTCATTATGGGATTGGATACGCTAGGAAATACGCTCTGGCGGGCAGGTATAAAAACAACTCGGGCAGGGGTAAAAAAAGCCTGTTTGGGGAGGGAAGAGGGGGGGTTCAGAGCACCAAATTCCCCCCACCAAATGTGGCATCATTTAGCATGGTAATAAATAAATAGTTCAAGCCACCAAGGGCATGTCAAGGGTTCCAAACTCCAACAACCAGCCAACCACCCATCTCAGGTAAGCCTCCCCCAAACCGCCCGCCTAACCCTCTCCTGCTCTGCTCTACAGGTACTCGTCCAGCAGCTCCTCATCTTCGCCCTCCTCATCCTCCTCCTCCCGATCCACCCTGTACCCCGCAGGGACGGGGGCGTCCGGGATGTTACCGGACACCACCCCCGCCCCCTCGTCGGCCATGTGCCAGTTGTGCACAACCTTCCAGTTGTGCGCAACGTAAACCAGATCCTTGCACTTTTCTGAACCCAGCCGGTTGCGTCGGGCGGTGTGGACAGTATCCCACACCGCCCAGTTGCGCTCGCAGCTGGATGCAGACACCGGCTGAGTTAGCACTCGGCAAGCAAGGGCCATGAGCAAGGGGTGGTCAGTGCCGTGCCACTCCCACCACGCCTCCATGGAATAACTTCCTTCCTTCACCAACTTCCGGTCACTGATGGCCTCAGCCGTGCCGAAGCTGCCCCTCAACTTCAGAAAGGCGGCCAACCCTTCCTGCAGGAGGAGTGTGGCACGCTTGGGCAGGCCATCCCTCTGGGGAATCATCACCCCGCCATAGTGGCGGGCAATGAAAGCTTTGAACACATTGGTGCACTCCGTGTCCGGCCCAAAAATCCGCTCCTCCTGGTTGACCGGGTTAAGAATCCGCCCGACCACGTGCAGTGGGCAAGCCATACTCTCATCCCAACGCCGCTTCACAATCTCATTGACGCCCTTCTTGTCTCCCGCACTCAGCACCCCATCCCCCTCCTCCTTCAGCAGTTCTGCCACATTCACAGTGAGCTCAAGCATCAGCTCATAGATGCGGCCCATCATCCCTTTCGTTGCCGAATCCGTCGCCCTCATGGCCTTGAACGGGAGCAGGAGCAGCCTCTTGAAGAGCTCAGCCGCTGGCCACCAGTCCTTATCCATGATCTGGTCGTGGAATGTCTCTGCAGCTGCCTTCTTTGGGCCCACCGCCCACTCCGCCTTCCATGCATCGCAGAGCACCATGGTCACCAGCGTTGACCGCAACTCCACCAGGCGGGACACAGCAATGTGCTGCGTCCCAAACCTGGTCCCCGCCGGCCTCAGCATCTGCAGCCCCTTCCCTCCGTCCACACCCCTGAGATACTGTCGGGTCCAATGGTGGCTGCGGGTGTAGTTGATGAGCTCGCTCGCCCGCCCCACTACCTCCTTGGCCCAAGCCTGCCGTCCCACATCCTCCATAAGGAGGTCGAGCACGTGCGTCGCACACGACACATGCTCGATGCGCGGATTCTCTGCAATGAGGAGCCGGCAGGCGCTGTGGTAGTTGCTGCCGCCATCGGTGCAGAATGCCACGATGTTCTCGACCCCAACCTTTTGCAGGATGGGCCGGAGGAGCCGGGCGATGTATCCCCCGGTCTTTTTCTCCATCTTGCAGTCAATACTCTCGACGAACACTGCGCCGGTGTCATTGACCAGCATCACATTCGCCTGCGGCCTGCCACACTTGTCGGTCATCATGTCGCTGGCAATCGTCACGCCGTGGCGCTTCCAGCTCGACATGACGCCCGTCAATCCCTCGTCAATCCGCTTGCGGCATAACTGCAAGCCGGCACCACCCACGTAGTCGCGCTTTGGAGGCACATAGCTGGTCCCCGCGCGCGCGATGGACCGGACGGCGTTGCGCCAAAGCGGGTGGTCGGCATGGCGCTCGGGAAGGCGGAGGCCGGCAAAGAGGAGGCAAATAGCCTCGTCCGCCGCCGCCTTGGCCGCTTGGGCGTCATCGGACAGGTAATCGGTGATCTTCCGCTTTCCTCGACCACTAACGGCGTCGAGGGCCGACTCCTCCGCCCTAAGCGCCTCCTCCCTCGCGAGCACTTTGGCGGTTTGGAACGCGCGGACGGCAGCCTGCTCCTCCTTCCCTATCTCCTCGCATTTCCGAACCTCGCGCCTACGCATACCATCCCAACTAGTGATGTGCTGTGCGCAGCGGTAGGCCGTCCCGGTAAAGGATACGGGGCAGTACTTGCACCAATACTTTTGCTGCTTGCCGTGCTCCTTATGCTTAAACTTGAAATGTTTAAAGATAGCGTGGGTGGAGTTCTCCAGGAGCTCGTCAGAGGAAGACGCAGCACAGGAGGTTCCCGCGTCGGTTCCGTGGGAACCAGGACTAGGTGAAGGGTTCGACATAGCAACAGTCGCTAAAAAACCAGCTAGCTAGTCGCGCTAGCTTGGAAGAAGAAATGACAGAAGTTAGCGCGCCAGTTTACTTGTACCCTGATTTCGTCGTAGGAGTGAACTGCGCTGAACCCTGCTGGAGTAGAGTAGAGAGGGAGAGGAAGGAGATTTCTTTGGGTGTTGTTTGGAAGTCGCAGATTGGGTGGGATGCTGTGTGGTTGGGAGGGGCGAAGGGGTTGGGTTGACGATTTGAAAAGCCAAATTTCGGTTTGCGACATGGCGAAATCCCTGTGGGGTTTCGTCATGTCGCAGATTTGTCGCATCGTTTTTTGCGTATTTCTTGCCGGGCTGCCCGCCAAGAAATACGCTAGCGTATTGCGTACTTAGCTAGCGTACAGCGTATTCGTATTATACGCTAGCGTATGTATGCAATACGCTAGGCTGCCCAAGCGTATTTCTCCACTTAGGCGGCAGCAGCGACATTGACGACAGCGGCGCCGGTGGCGGCGTGCGGCGGCGCCCGGCCCGCGGCAACAGCAACGGCAGCGGCGGCTTGGACGTCAGCGGCTGGTGCAGCGGCCCCCGCCCTCTTGGCGGCATGTCCAGTCACCTCGGCAGTGGGGAGGGCTCGCATGAGGCAGTCGTTGGCTGCAGCAAGGAAGGGGGGGGAAGCAGGGGAAGGAGGGGGGAGGGGGGGGAGAGGGGCGCGGGGCGTAGTCCAGAATCACGCCGGCGGCTGCAGAGCGGGCGGCAGGTCCGGCGGCACCATTGACGATGCGCGGCCGGCTGTCGCCCGATGACGCCGCCACGGCGGCCAAACGACGGATGCGCGGCCAGCTGTAGCCCGATGACGCCGCCACGGCAGCCAAAAGACGCCGCCACAGCGCGACGTCGATGCCGTGGCGGCGAGGCGGAGGTGCGACTGTAGCTCGACTAAGCCACCGCGGCATCTCAGAGAAGTCGCCACGGCGGCACGGAAAGGCAAGGCCGCCACGGCGGCAGGAAAACGAAAGGCCGCCATCAGCGGTACGGTACGAAGTGAAACGTAAGACAAGGACGAGGCGGAAGCGTGGAAGGCAGGACCGAAAACGGCCTGCTCTGATACCATGTTAAAGTAGCTCTAGGCTAGGATACTAGGCAGAACAAAGGCCGCCATAAATATGGCGGCGGGTTTTAGCTAGGAGCGTAGGAAGAGTGTCGAGAGAAAAGAGAGTTTGGATTAGGAAGAGAGAGGAGTACAAGGAGGGGTTTGTACCCTCTACAAAAAGGTTCAGTAACAACCTACCAAGCCTATATTAAATTATAACTTATATAATTTGAACACACCTGTAAAAATATTACATGGTATCAGAGCTATACTGAATTAGGAATACTGTCAACAATGACTGGTTCATCACCAGCACCGTCTGCCGTATCAACTTCCGGAACTACTGGAGTACATGTCTCCACAACCGCCACTAGTCTCTCAGCCTCTGGACTGTTTCCACCGGCTTATGCGCATATCGGTATGCAGCAGCAGCAGAATCCGTCTTCTGTCAGTACTCCAGGGATGTCATCAACTGCCCCTGCTGCACAGCACCAACAAACTCAGACAACAGCACAACAACAAGCATCAGTACAGCAACAGGCATAAGCACAACCACCGTTTTCACCTCAATCTATATCTTCCGCGTTCAGTGGAATGAGCCTTGACGGCTCGAGTTATATGCGTGGAGCCTCAGCTCCAAGTTCTGGTTCATTCGCTTTCTCACCTTTTGTGCAGCAGCCGCAGTCACAGCAGCAGCACCATCATCCCTTTTACATCTTTGGCCGTTCCCCTGCTCAGCAACAGCAACAACAACAACAGCCACAACAGTTTCAGCAACAGCAACAACAGCAAGAACAACAGCGGCAACAGCAACAGCCACAACAACCAGGTATTATTTTTCAACCGCCAAATTTACTAACAGTACACAGATCAAGACAACCATACCTTTTAACGGAGTGGATTTTTACTCCTGGAGTTTCGAGTTTGAACTTTTGGCGCAGTCCGCCGGGCTTTGGCCGTTCTTCACCGGAGAATTCACCTATCCTGTCGTGGGAACACAACTGGAGCAGCAGAGTTTCTTGCACGCCTCTCTCGGGGCGTATACAGTTCTTGTTCGGAACCTGTCGCCGAAGGAGCAGCTCGGCGTCCGATCGTTTCATTCAAGTTTTACACTAGCTGAAACTGCATGGAACCACTTGAAGGGGTTATACTGGCAAAAGATACAATAACAGTGAGTAAAATTCTTTCGCAGTTGACAAGCGTGCAGATGATGACAAACGAGCATGTCATGGATTACGTCAACCGCGTCCGTATACTACGTGATCAACTGGAGAAGAGTGGGGGATACTTCCCTCGTGAGATGTATCTCACTGTCCTTCTTGCTGGCCTTGGACCCGAATGGCGACAGACGCGCGCCTTCCTGCGCATGAATCCAAATCTCTCCGAAGCTGAGATTTCTTCGTATCTTCAAGCCGAACAGCAAGATCTGGACCTGCAGTCACAACGCAATCAGAAAAAGGGAATACTCTTGAGTTTTTACTAAAATCCAGAATCGCAGCAACGACTTCCCCCGAAGTATCCTTTCTGTCATTTTTGCAAGAAACCAGGACATACTTACCAAAATTGTCGCAGCCGCCATCAAAACCGTCGTAGCATTTCACAGCCGTATCACTGTTTGCAGCAGTTACTAAAAACACCTCAGTCAACGCAGCAGTCTACGACCCAGACGCAGCAGATGCCGAAACCACCTCCGAGTACCACGTCGTCACAGCATCGTCCTCCGGTCTTTGCATCTGCAACATCAGGAAAAGGGGTCTTTGGATGTGTTACCACAGTTGATGTTTCAGAAACAGATTTCGAGACACGACTAGAAGAAACCACAAGTGCTGAAGGCATTCCCTTACCTCAAGTTTACGTTAACCTTGCTCGAATAATTTCAGGTCCGAATACTTGGTATCTCGACAGCTGCTGCGGTTGGCACATTTGTTCCGCTGAGACAAGCTTCATCACCAACCAGCGCCCGCTTCGTCGTCCGATACCTGTCACGGTTGCAAACGGACAAACTATTATGGCAAGATCCATTGGAAGTGTGATGCTCGAATCAGTCGACACGGGATATTCACTTCATGTTACCAATGTTCTTATCGTCGCTGGCCTTGGCTTCAATCTTCTCTCCACGGCTCAGCTCCTGGCATACAAAATACGCACTCAAGGCAACTGTGATACAATGGATCAGGAGTTAT